TAAGGTTAATTGGATTTTTTGCTTACTTGTGACTGATTAGGGTTCAGTGAGAATACTATCATACGACGTGATGACAGCACAGTATATAATATATAGCACATATTAACATACATCAGCTTAGCTTAGCTTAGCATTAAGACAAAAAGCAGTGAGAAAACAGCTAACTGCTGGCTGCTTAGCTAGCTAATTTCCAGAAATAAAAGAAACAGTCCAACAGAACCCCCCCACACACACACACACACACACACACACCTTAAAACTGCAACTTTTCTGTTTTACGCTGCAGTTTTTGTATCAAAGGTGTAGTTTGACATATTGGGAGATATGCTCATTTGCTTTCTTGCCTAGAGTTAGATGATAAGATCATTACTGCTCATAAATATAAGGCTACCGCCAGCAGCTGCTTAGCTTAGCTTAAAATAAAAACTGGAAACAGGGGAAACCAACAGGGTTGGCAGATTTTGTTACCTTTGGAGTCATGTTAGCTGCTTTCAAACATAGCTAAGCTAACCAGCTGCTGCTGACTCTAGGCACAAAAGCAAATTAGCGCATTTCCTAGAATGTAGAACTATTGCTTTAATGAGTTATCACTGCAGCAATATTATTTTTTTCCTGCTAAATAATTAAAGGTTCATGTTATAGTATCTGCATGTAGGCCTATATATTGCACTATCCATCCATTTACAGTACATTTGGCTATGCAATGTGTTTTTTTATCTTCTGACTGAAAGACAGACTCCTGGAGGGAAATCTTCATATTTGATACTTGTGCAGTAATTTCCTCTTCAGATAGTAGCTGGCCTCATCTTTCTTGTTTCATCCTATTTCCTGGGCCTGCCACGTCCTTGGCTGTGGATGAAATTGTAAAGCTGGATTGGGGAGAGATAGTAATATGCTCGGCCAAAAACCTTGACAGTGAGCCAACTGTGTTTTGGGGGCAGCGTGTAAGGTATTTAGTATGTTTTGTGAGGCTCCCAACGCGCCTGTTCGTCGGCTGCTTGTTGTTTTGTTTGTTCCGACTCAGCATATGTTTCCTGGCTCAGTTGTCCGCACTGTGTTTTGTGTGGAGGGAAATGCCGGAATTGTTCTCTTTTTCTCTGGTTTTGGTGACACGTCAAAGCTGTTTGCACCCAGCGTGAATGCAGAGGTTCCTATTGTCTACTGTCGCTGGCAACATTGCTGTGTGTGTGTGTGTGTGTGTGTGTGTGTACTTTGCATAAGTACATGCCTATGCATATTCAGCTCTTGCCTCTTGCTGTTTTCATGCAGTGTTTTCTGGATAGTATATGCAAATGTGTATGAGCTACCAGCAAAGGATAACAGTAACACATACTGGCTGATGGACTGGATATCTGAGATTGTGTCTGTTACTGTGTGCGTGTGAATAATGATGCAGATGCAGTGGGCAACAGGGGGCTGTGTAGAGGAAAGTAGGCCCCTACCCTCCTCTTCCCCCCTGTGTTAACCAGAGCATGGTAGTTTGTTTTTATGACAGCCTTTTTTTGGCATTGTTCTGGTCCGATAGAGCTCACCCTCCCTACCGTGGGACTGGCCGTTAATGCGCAGGAAGTGCCGGAAGCGCGCAGCATAAGCACGCACGTACACACATACTGTATTCCAGACTCCAGCACTCACAGCCCCTCCCGAGCTATCACCCCACACTCACACATAAAGTTTGAAAGGACAATAAAAAGTTGCCCTGCAGCTCGCAGGCTGGTAAGCTGCAGCTTATCCAGGAAGGCGCAGCAGCCGGGTTAATGGCCTCTCTCCAGGGTAGGCACTACAGAGGGGCCCATGCAGTCTTATCAGCTGTAGGAGGGGCCCTACATGGCTGCGCTCTTGAGAGCTCAGCTGAGCTAGTGTGGGGGGAGTAGCTTAGCTGTTGGAAGACAGAGTGCTACCTGGCTTTTTTCCTGCTGTGTTTGTCTAGCGTTATTCTGGCAGCGTAGGAAAATCAAAGTTAGCTGTTAGCCCCTCCGAAATGTAAACATAGATGTTTGTCCAGTGTAGCACCTGTAACTGGAAATTCAAAGTTAACAGGCGTTGCACATTCTAATGGAAACTCAGCCTATCAAGTCTTACTGAGAAGTCAGTGCTGCCCTTTATTGTTGAAAAATCAATGATAGACCACTTCTTTCTAGTACCATGGGGCCCTTTTGTCAAGTGTGAAGAGAATTACGGACAATGTGTGAAATACTGTGTAAAGCTGAGGTGTATTTCTTTTCTTTCATTGGAGATGTCTTAGCAAAGAGCCAGCATGATTTGTAGAAAAAATGATTAAAAGTGTGATGAGGGGAAATGAGATACCTTCCCCCTTGACTGACTAATCATATTTTGTCTCATGGATCCTATGACGACTTCAGCGTGATCTGAGCTCATGAGTCACCACTCCTTTTCTTCATTTATGGCGAAGCAGGATCTGATACAGTGTTCACAGCTGCTGCTAAGTATGCAGCAGAGAGGTAACCTGTCACTGTTACTGTTGCCTCGTGTGAAACGCTTGTTAAACATCCCTTTTTTGCCTTGAAGTAAATACAGGCTGCACAGTATCGTGCCCAAAAATACTGAACCTGCTGCTGTCTGTTTTTGTTGACGATGCCACCTCCCCACCTACTCGTCTGCTTTGCATATTGCCCACGATAGATGTGATGAGATCCTGCAGACAACAAGAATACTACATACATAAAATACTCTAAATGTGGAGATCTGACTGACATATAGCTGGATAATCGATCCTGATATGCAGCATCTTTATGCCAGGTGGAAAAAGTTCTGTAATGTCACTGTATTGATGGCGTCATGATAAAAAGCAATGCTAGCTGATTTCCTTCACATACTCTGTCACAGTGCTGCCCAGTACAACCACGGCTGTCAACTGGTGGCCATGGAGTAGATCCACTGAGCAGTTGGGGTTTAACTCCATAATGAGTTATGGAATAGCAAGGGATCCTACAAATATAGCTACACAGTAGGGGTTTCTCCAACCAGTTTCTGATGCGGATGGAGATTGCTGATAGAGAAGACAACACCAAAACAATGAAGTAAGTTGAAGACTTCTCTCCACAATCACCGCTCTCTATCTCAGTTAATTAAAGAATGCCGCAATTGCACTGCAGTAATGTCAGCTTCTGTAATGAAACAAGGCGAAACAGGAGTTACCTGGATGTAACTGCAGTACTATAGTAGTACTGTAGCTCGAATATCATGAAGCTCTTTAAAAAATGTAAACACAATAATTGTAGCATGATGCCTGGCCATGTGCGATACATGTTTCTGGTGTCAGGCTGGTGATATTAATGGGTGAAATCCAACATTGAACTATAAATATTTGTGGTATCTGCCGAGGGATTCCTGCTAAGCTCTTGCATCAAGCATAAATCCAGCTTTATTGATTCTCTTTCTCCTGGTCTGCTCATACACCCTTTCATTGAAACGCCACTGCTAGCATAGCCTAGTGCTCCGTTATTAGTGCAAGCTGTGGTTAGCACCTCATTGGCCTCACCTCGAGTCCAGCACCAGGAACTCCTTTGAGCCCAGCTGTATCAGCAGCTGCAACTATAATAGTCCTGTTGTTGAGGTGTTGGTCTGGCTTGTGTGCTGAAAGAGAGAGACAGAGTCTGTGTTTGGCCCCTCACCCGCCCCTATCCGTCTGCAGACTCACCTTTGACCCCCGGCTGGCTGCACTACCCCCTCTCATGCTGCTCTTTTCCAGTCCACCGCTCTCTGCATGATGTCTGACTGCCTGAAGAGAGGGATGGAAAGAGAAAAAAAGGAAAGAAATCTGCTCAATGGGATGCGGCCACAGTAATACGACAGAAAGGAGATAAAGGAGGAGAAAGACAGGGATTGGGAAGAAAACAAGGCTGGCGAGGGGGGGGGGGAATTGACAAACAGTATACGGGTTGCCAGGTTTGTCCACTCCTAGAGAGAGACAGAGATTGGAAAGTGAGAAAGAAGCCAGCTCATCCAGACAACAGCCCTGAGAAACCAAGATAAGAGCGACCAGCAGTCAACAATTACGCCATCAATTTCCAACCTGGCTTTCACCTTCTTCTCCCACTCTCTCTTTCAATCTTTCTCATCTTTTGCTTCTTGGTGCTCTCTCTTATTCTCTTTTCTCCCCTTTAGTCCCCACTGCTGTGCTCCCTGTGAAATTTTGTAATAGGCATCTCTGCGTGCAGTACATACACAGTATGCTACACGTACAGCAGCCCTGTTTCAAGCTCTGTGTCAGAGCATTTTTCAGACAATCAAATGGTGTTTTTAAATGGTTTATGTAAAGACAGGTAAAGAAAGGTTCAGCTGAAGCTAATATGAGGCTTCAGAAGTCTTGACAAGTTTCTCTTTTTGCTTCCCCTGATAATGTTTTCTTGCAGAGCCGAGGTGGAAGGATCTGTCCTGGGAGCCAGGTTGTCAACTAGAAGTAGAACTAAACACTGGCAATAAACCTACCAGAACAAACATACCCCATTGATTGGGCTAACTCGGTCTGCTAAAACCTCATATAAGCGTCAGCTGAATATAAAAATATATATTTAAGAATTGAGAGGAATGATTATAGCAACAAACTAAACTAAGATACCTTGGTTTTCACTGAGCAGACATTTTTATTTCTTGCTACCATAGACTGTATATAAAGACAACACATCTCCACTAGGGCTGCAACTAACGATTATATTCATTGTTGATTAATCTGTTGATTGTTTCCCAGTTAATTGATTAATTGTTTGGTATAAAAAGTGTCAAAATTGTTTCCCAAAGGCCAAGATGACTTCCTAAAATGTCTTGTTTTGTCCAAACCCAAATATATTCACTTTACTGTCATAGAGGAGTAATGAAACCTGAAAATATTTACATTTAAGAAGCTGCAATCAGATGTTTTTTGTTTTTTGTTAATGATTCAAACCGATAAATCAACTGTCGAAACAGTTGCCGATTGAAAATATATATTAATATGTAATTTACTTTGTCTCCACTTGTCCAAAACATCTTGTATACAGGCACTGCTATCTTGCACCGGTGATGCCATGCGGAGCCAGAGTCTGTGCAGGAGTGATCGAGGTTGAAGCCGCGGTATACACCTGGCAGGTTTGTCCATTCTGGGCTACTGTACAAACATGGCAGCGCAACATAGCGGACTCCGTGGAAGAGACACTAATGACAAGAAAACTTTATATTCCATTTCTGCCAATATCCCCCTAAATCTCACACACTGTTCCTTTAAGGAAAGGATCTGAATACTTCATCCACTACTCACGCACTTTCACACACACACACACTCTCTCAAACACTCGTAACATCAGACAAACATGGAAGGCCACGTGCGTTTTCTCACACACAGTCTCACCTGTACTAACACATTCACACATGAATGTATTTGCACGCACACCTTCATTCGCTCACACTTTGTCTCTATCTTCTTTCTCACACTCTCTCTCTCTCACACACACACACACACACACACACACACACAGTAGCATATGGAACAGTTTATCTCGCAGTTTTTTTTCTTCCTTTTTTTCGTACCTATTAGGCAAAGTCTTTTTTAGGAACACCAGGGAGGAGAGAAAGGCAAACTCTTTATTATGATTTTTTCGCCCGAGGTTAGAACAGCCATGGAGAACAAATACACACGCACAGGCGCACACACACATACGCACATACACACACACACACACACACACACTCTGAGCCCCCCTCTGCTTCTACGCGTCAAAAAATCAATAACACTTCTCTTTAAAAAACGCCTGAAATCTAATGGAAAGAGACAGTGAGGGAGTGAGAGGGGGTTACTGATGAACCCCACCAACACACACACACACACACACACACTTACTTACCTTGCTCACTTTCTCTGCTGATTTTGCTTATTTTTCTTTTCTGTTCGCCAGAAACCAGATAGATAGGTAGATAGATAGAACCGTTATGGTATACCAGGGAAAAGCAAGAGGAGCCGTCTCAAATTGAAGCAACTGAGTTAAATGGCCTTCCCTTTTTAAAATTCATGGACAGTCCGTTCCTCCATCCCTCCGTCCCGCCTGTCCTCTCATATCTCTGCGGCTGAACAGCTCTGATTTGTGTACCAGGATTAAATTCCTCAAATTTGTCTTTCACTCCCTGTGGGAGAGGACCGTGCTTTTTAATTAATTGATTTTGAAATTAAGTTAGCTGCTGCGTGTGTGTGTGTGTGTGTGTGTCCGTGTGGGTGTGTGACTGTGTGGTTAATCGGGTGTGTGTGGTTGTGGAGAAGTGTGTCTTTCCCCAACACTTAGCTGGGTAACAGAGGGGTGGGATTGTGTGCGTTTCTGTGATTCTGTAAATTGACGTCGGTACTAAATCTTTATCAAGAGTGTAAAAAGGACAATTAGTGGTTTTATCAGGGTTATGTGCCCGCCTATTTCCATTTCTGTACATATTGGGTTTCGTACGGATTAAGTAAACAAGCTATAACATGCTAATCAGTGAGCTTTAGAGGTGCTGGTAGGTAGATCTTGTTACCTGTAGCCAGCCTCCCTGCTAAGCTAAGCTAATCAACTGTTGGCTGTAGCCTTTTAGTCATATGTAATGGACAGATATGTAATGGACAGATACGAGAGTAGTATTGATCTTTTTATGTTACTGTCAGCAAGAAAGCTAATTAGTATGTTTCCCGAAATGTCAAACGATTCTTTCAAGAGCTCTGCGTAAGAGGCAAGAGAGGAAGTGCATGAACTTCATGTGTGTGCTAAATAAAAGGGAACCACGTGTGGAGAAAAAGTATCAAGGAGGCTTAGAGGGAGGTCAGATATGGAAACATTAAGGTCACATAGACGAGCACCGAGTCACCTGTTGCTCCACTCAGCTACATTTGGAAATTTGCAAAATTGTCTGATGTCCGCATAGAGAACAGACAAAAGGTATTAAATGCCAAGTTTTAGGAAGTGTTGACTTGACTGCTTGAGGACAGGGAATTTTTGCCTGCTACAAACTAAAAGCTGAGATCAGCCTCAGCTCAAAGAACATGATGAGTACAGCAGTTGAGGATTTAAGACTTACTAAAAAAAAAGAATTATGGACAAATATTATTTATTTATTTTTGTTTTATACCGAAGCTCTTTTTCCTCAGATATAAAAAAATGTGTAAACCTGTCTGTGAAAAACTGACGTGCGGCTGTAACAGGCAACTGCAAGTGGAAGTAGAGACATTTACACAGCAACATGCGTTTTAAAGGCTTCCGAAAATTTCATCCATCTTCTTTAGAAGGAAATTGTTACCTCATAATGACAGACACAACGTCACGTTTTTGTCTAATACATGCAATGGTCGTAGTTGGCTGCTGTAGGATTCAGGGTGTTGTGAACAGATAGAGACTTGACAAACAGTGCTGAGCTGCTGCGATAAATGGTAATCAGAGCCTACAGGAAAAAGGCTTCCCTCGGAGTAATTACATGCTTCTAAGTCTCCTCACCAAACCATTTAACGTTTTCACCCACCAAAAACAACCTGCTAAACAACGTAGTGTTTTTAACTCCAGCCGCTAAATGTGTCTTTATTTCCTGAGCAATACTGTCTTATCAAGCTTTGTTAAACAAGTAGTAAACTGTATCCAGCCCATGCACATTTCAAAACAACCCCTTGAGTGTGCAGAAAATGCCTAAATCTGAAACGGTGGAGCAGTGAGGATTAGTCGATATCTAACTCTCTTAAGGAGGAAAGCATCAACACTAAATCACTTTCCAGCAACCACAACTGTTATGTAGGAAGAAGCTGTCGTTAGCTAAAGTGATTTTACTCTGTATCTCGGTATAAGGCCAGAGATGCTTGTACAGTAAGATGAAAGTGGAGGGGGAGACAGTTAGCTGCTGGATAAATCTCTTCATCCACAGCCTATTCAAAAATCATAGGCGAGCAGCTCTTTAATGTGGGGATTGTGCTGGGTAACTCTGTGCGTGTTTGTGTGTGTTCACACTCCTTCATAATTACCAACTAGTGTCTCTGTGTGAGGGTGCGAGTGCTCCGCTGTGCCCTTTGTGTTCACGTGTGTGGTTTCTCTCTTTTGCAGCTGCATGGACGCTCGCTTTGTTCCACACTGCTGCTGTGTTGCTGAATGTCTCCCGTATTATGTACCGCACAAAACCGTCCTCTCTAAAGCTGCGTTCGCCACCGCAGCGTGCTGCCTCAGCGCTCGTAGCAGAGGATTGTGTTGCTCATCAGCATCACAGCGCTGGTGGTGGATCTGCTGCATGCTGTCAGGCCCACGCCGTCTGTCGCAGTGTGTGTGTGTGTGTGTCTTTTTCGGTCTTTAAGTATGTGTGTGTGTGTCTCTGTTTCTTTGTGTCTGTGTGTGTGTGTGCCTTTGCCTTTGTTTCTCTGAGACTGTGTGGCTGTTTCTTTGTGTCTGCATCTATGGGAGTGTGTGCTAACCTGTGTGCATCTTCATCTCTTTGTGTTTGAGTGTCAGTGTGTGTATTTGTACCTGTATGTGTGTGTGTGTCCTTGATTGTGTGTGTGATTGTGAGGGTGTGTCTTTGTCTAAGTGCTTTGTGTCTGGATCTGCTTTGGTCTTATTAATTATATATATATATGCTTTGTGTGTTTGTGTGTGTATCCGTCTGTGTGTGCGTTACCACAGTTGGATGACAGACAGAACTCCCGCTAGACTTTATTAACAACATTTACTAGAAACTCTGCTGAGTTTGTCTAAGCCGGGAGATTAAGATGTGCACACAAACACACACACATAAACACACAGACACACACTGACAAAACTGACTCACAAAGGCACCAGGGGTTGGGGAAAGAGAGGTAGGGTATGTGTGTGTGTGTGGGTTTGTGTTTGTGCGGGGGGCTAGCTTTGCAAAATCAACAAACACATGTGCTGTAGCGTTCTGACACATTTATACACATTGTGTTCTCACATATTCCTGTTCTGTCGTACATACTGCGTCACACCTCCCACACACATACAGTCTTAAACACTCTTAAACACACACAAACACACACACACAGACAGTTTGTAATTAGTATGAAGGCATCAAAAGCTTGTAGTTATGATTTATGTGTGTGTCTCTTCTCACCTGGGCTTCACACCCTCAAAACACCTGAGAAAGTGCACCAGGGTGTTGTTACCAAACTATAAAGACATCAGTGTGTATCTCTGTCGCTGTGTGTGTGTGTGTGTGTTTGCTCCGTGGTGCAGTAGCAGCAGTTGGAGTTGGTCTATCGACTTATTGGTTCTAGAAGACGAAACGTGGTATTGGTCAATTCCCCATCGTTTATTTAAATGGAGGGACTGCACAGGTAGACACTATTCCGATCTGAAGAGAAACAGCAATGGAAAATGTTAAAGGGGTAGTTTTAACACTGGGACACTCCACACTGATCATTTGATGAAAGAAAGTGACATGAAAAAGATGTTTGGTGATCAGAAATTGTTGTTGAGTGAGTTGAATTGTTAGGGCTCTGAACATTGTGAAGCTGCATGGGTCAGAAGTTATCTTACTAACAGGAAATATAATATAGTACAGTGGTCGGCAAGGCGGCCCGCAGCCAGATTGCTTTGATAGCAGAAAAATAAAAAATAAATAAATTGATAGCAGCTGGTGCTGAAATAGATCTCTGTCATGACAGCTACAGTTACTTACATAATCACTTCCGCTTAAATGATTGTGCCTCCAAAATAAAAGCGCATTTTTTGCAGCAAAACTTTATCGAGTTTATTGAAAGCTTTTACTTTGAAAAGTTCTGAAAGACATTCATAGACATACATAGACATAGACACACATAGACTCTAGCTTGCTTGACACACCACTGAAAAAGCCGTCACTAAACATGTGATTGGATTCCCCTGAAAATAAGCGTCCATATGTTTATGAATGCGGATCAAACGCCGGGACGCACACACACTGCAGCACATGCTTTATTGTGAGCATGTGCAAACGTGTCCTTATAATCACTTTGTTTAACAAGGGAGAAAAAAACATCTGCAGCATGTTGGGATCGATCATACAGTCCAGTCCCGCACACTACCGACGTAGCTAAATGTACACATAATGACAAAAATATAAGAAAAACTATTTGACTGTGTTCTAGCCCACCATGTAATGGT